GCTGCGTGCTTTCCCGGTTTGGGGAGTATATTTTGGAAGGTTTTGGCTCTACAAATGGCAAACTGTAAATACAGTTATAATATTTTTATATTGCAAACCAGTGGAGATTCTCTTTTGTGTCTGCCATCAACCAGCAGTCCTCGCAGAAATTACTTTTAAAGGTTTCATGCAGGCTTATTGTTTTGCTTGTTTCAGTGAGTTTCATTTTTGACTTTTCTTCAGGATACTGTGTCAGTACATTGCACGGAGAAGACCTTGCTGTGGGCTGGATGACAGCGTTGGGCATGGTGGGAAAAGGCGTGCTTTGCAAGCTGTTTCGTTGCCTTAAGTAGCAGGCGGGCAGCTTCCTGCACCGTTTGGACACGTGCCCCGTCTCCTCGCAGGTGCCTGGCTGGCTGGCCGTGCTGGGGGAGGAGGGAGGCTCCTCCTGCTCCTCTCCCTGCTTCTCCTCCGTGACCATCCCTGGGCAGGAGCCAAGGCTCCCAGTGCATGTGCTACACCCATGACCTGGCGTCTGAGTAGCTCCGCTTCATCCGTACACGCGTACGCCGGGCTGGTTTCTCCTGCCTGCTCGTTGCCCCGTTGATGATAACGATCTGGCCTTTGGAGCGTTCTCCGCTTGGCAAAATCGCCCACAACCACCCATTGTTTAGATTAACGCTGACCTTGTAGCTTGTGATGAACCCAAGACCTACGCAAGCAAAAAGTGAATAGCCACCGTTGAAAAGTATCTTATCAGATATTTGAAAGAATAATAAACAAAAGGAAGTGGATAGAAGAATGCCTTTCAGTGAGCCCGTGTTAAAATAGAGCTTCATGGGCCAGCTTCTGTGATGATGGGTCCGGGCAGAGGTTACACCGCAGCAACGCTGCTGTACGTTCTTTGGGATAGTCGCAGTAACCCCCTCTGTCCCCTGGCCTGTCCTGACACAAGGATGTCCACGGCATCGTCCTGGAATTGCCCAGCATCACTGGAGGGCTGGCTTTGGGCAGTCTGGATGCTATAGCTGCACTTTTATTATTAGATTTACCCCATGCATCAGTACAGGCTTGGGGCGGACCTGCTGGAGAGCAGCTCTGTGGAAAGAGACCTGGGTGTCCTAGTGGACGACAGGTTGACCATGAGCCTGGGCTTGTTCAGCCTGAAGAAGAGAAGGCTGAGAGGGGACCTTAGAAATGCCTCTAAATATCTGCAGGGTGGGTGTCAGGAGGATGGGGCCAAGCTCTTTCCATTGGTGCCCAGTGACAGGACAAGGGGCAATGGGCACAAACTGAAGCAGAGGAAGTTCCAGCTGAAGAGGAGGAAGAACTTCTTCCCTCTGAGGGTGACGGAGCCCTGGAACAGGCTGCCCAGGGAGGTTGTGGAGTCTCCTTCTCTGGAGATATTCAAGACTCGCCTGGATAAGGTCCTCTGCAACCTACTGTAGGGGACCCTGCTTCGGCAGGAGGGTTGGACTAGATGAGCCACAGAGGTCTCTTCCAAACCCTGCCATTCTGTGATTCTGAGATGTTTGTCAAATACATTAATGTGATTGTACCTCAACACACAGCATATTAGCTGAGAATTTCTGGGCTTTCCGGTGCTTGGTTTGAGGATAATTTACAATCTCACTGTAATTTCGAGGAGGGTGCCTAAGGAAAAAAGGCTCTGAGAGTCAGCTTGTCTCTTGCTGTAGAAGTCCCCTGATGGTTTTTTGAGTCCGGGAGCCACGTTCAAGCGATCTGGCAGCAGTCTGCAGGACTCGGCAGCAGGGAGCGACCCCCTAATGCCCAGCGGTGGGGGACACAGGGAGGGCTTGGCCCACCTCGTGTCTGGTCAGCGAGGCTGCGACAGGTTAGAGAGGCAGGGGACAGTGAGAACGAGAGGATGAGTTGCAGGGGATGGGGAAGGACACAGGGTGCGAGGGCAAGCCTGAGAGGGAGCTGCAGGTCGCAGGGGATGGGGAAGGACACAGGGTGCGAGGGCAGGGCTGAGACGGAGCTGGAGGTGATGGTGGGCATAGCTTGAGGGTATAGAGGAACACTGCACGTGTGAAGCTAGTTGAGGTGGACGGTGGGGACCTTGCACATTCCCAACTATGGTGTTTGTGCTGACTGTAGAGTGAGCTAGGTTTGGGGTGTGGGGTTTTCTTTAATTATGAAAAATACCCACGTTCCTTGCAAGATGGGCGTATGCCATATCCATATCAGTGGCTCTTCTAGTCTGCTTTACCTTTTTGTCTTGAAGTTCAGGTGACAGCCGGGTTGCGTAGTGACCCTGTGCTACTGGTGCTGCAGCTGAACGTGAGGACAGAGAGAGGTGGGTGGAGGAGGAACCCTGGGGCAAAAGAGCCTTTCTGCTGCCAGGCACGCTCCCTGCTTTTAGGGTCCTGGATGCTTTTTTTGGGAGGGACTTGCAAGCATGAGTAGTCTGACAGGTTCTCTGTGTAACATTGCATAAAATCCGTGAGCTCGTTGTTTAAAGGATTACAGTAGCCGTCCTGAGGGTTGTGAGTGACAAGCAAGAATAAATGTCAGTGACAGCTCCATGCAAACAGAGGGAGCGAGGACAACAGAGCCTGCTCTTCAAAGCAGATGTGTGTTCAGACCCTTCACTGTTGAAGCCCAAGGTGACCAACGTTCCCTTTTAGGTGGCACAAGTTCAGAGTTGAATGTCATCCAGCAGCTTGGCCTGGGTTTGGTCGGTTGCTTGGGCGCATATTGATGCCGGAGGGGCTGCTGAAACAGAGCTCTCCGTTTGCTCAGGACTGTGATTCGCACGCTGGCTGTCTTACGCCGTCGTTGTCCCAGAGATTAGGTCACCGGTCATCAGGGCCGGGGTGGTGCTGGGTCACCCAACGCTTTCTGCTCGCTTTGAAATCAGCGGTTAGGGGTGTCTGCAGAACGGCCATGGGGCAGGGCTTGGTTTGCCTGATTTCTTGCCTTGCAGAAGGGCTCTTTGGGGTGTGTACAGAAAGCCTCAGCCTATGTAGAGCACCTGGACTGCCATGGACCATGCCCCACGGGGAGTAAGGCGGTGGCAGCTCTGCTGTCTGCCCCGCGCTCCCGCTGTTGTCACCCCGGGGTTCCTTCTTGTTTGAAACGGTTGAAACTTCAGAAGCAATCTGAGGACTAGAGCTGATCTAAATGGTTTAAATGCTTCTGCAGCCTTAAGGCTAAACCAAGCTGTAACCATTCATGTGAGCAGTTCTGTTGACGTCAGTGGGTTTTCTCGCTGAAGCGTGCTGGATTTGACAGCTGGGTTAGAGGTTATCAAGATTTTAAACCATCTGAGGGGGAGGAAAAAAAAAGCAACCAAACAGAAGCTCTTGATGTCTCTTAAACTGAAGCAGTGTTTTTTTGGGAGGACAGCACGATGCATCTGGAAACGCAAGCAGAGCGATGTTTTTCCTCTCTGAAGTCTTATCTGAGTGGGAGAAGTGGAGCGCGCAGGGACACCGAGGTGCGGAAGCACACGCCTGCCCTCCAGCCACCCAGGGGCCTGGCTGCCCTTTCTGGGGTAGGGTTTGTTGGGGTTGCAGCTTGGGAGACAAGCAAGCAAATAAAAGGTCTATTAGATGCAATGAAGGGGATAAAAATTAGCTGAGATTACACTGATGTTACCAGACGGAGCTAAAAAATGGATCATCTCAACTCTCAAATTCCCCTGGTGCAGCCTTTAACTTCCTACAATCTGAGAAAGGCCTCGGGTGCCCAGATGCTTTTCTCTTTTCTCCAGCTTTGTCAGTTGACCTGGAAAATCACAGAATGACAGAATGTTCAGGGCTGGCAGGGACCTCTGTGGGTCACCCAGCCCAACCCCCTGCCCAAGCAGGGTCACCCACAGCAGGCTGCACAGCACCGCGTCCAGGCG